ACTACTGACAAATTATACATACCAGATCAAGAAATATATGTCTAGGTAATGTTTATCTGAGAACAATTGATCTTTGCCCATGATTTATCTACATGGCACACAGTAATTAAAAGTACCAGACTGGTGGAACTAACCACCTTGGATGTTTAACAGACATACTTTGAGGCCTATAATAATTTGGTCAGAGGGACATAAAGGCCCTCCTAGGTCGACTAGTTCCAGGGGACTATGAGAGTCTCCCAAAATGTCCTGTAATTGTGGTGGGTCACCTGTCCTCTTGATCAAGGAGGCCAAGGAGACCCCACGTGATGGACATGAACCAGTGTCCAGTCTACAAAGAAGAGGGTCAACACAGAGAAATTATTTCTTCCATGTTTCCAAGCAAAGCCAACCATAGTCGAGCAGGACCTTTGACTTATCTTCACATAGGCGGAACTGGTAAAAGAAAGGAGCCAGGGGCTCCTCCCAAGCCCATGTGACCCCTGAGGAACAGATCCTCAAAGGACCTTAAGAGTAAAAATAAATTGGTTTATCTGGGCCAACTGTATGGCCTTAAACACCCAAAAGGAAAGTATAACCAAAGATTAAAGGGGCCAATATAATTTTTTAAGAGTCCATATGTATAGCTAAAGGCTACATAACAAGCAACAATGCCAGATAGGAGATACCTTCTTTTGAGTTGTTGGCCAGGATGGCCCAAGGGACTCCCAGATAGTAACCCAGCATAGAACTGGGATAATGAACAGCAGACCCCAATCTTATCTAAAGGAATATTGACAACTGATTGCTGCTAGATGAGGAACAGCTGACCTTCCTAAAACAAAGACCTCTAGATAGGCTAACTAGATTCACCAGACGGACAAGTAGTGTGGAATGGCTGGGGGTGCCGACAACACAGTAGACGGTAGCAGGGATAACAGAGTATAAGGGCTCTAGTTGGGGGAGGGAGGCTATGGGAGGGTGCCATCTGGGAAGTGGATGTGTAGTTGAATAAGATGGTTTGGGATGTTCTGTGTGATATATACCCATAGGAAAAAAAATCAACAAATTTTTAAAAATGTATTATATTTGAGGAGGAAGCATGGAAATTTACATCATGTTAATTAGTAGAGGTGATAAACAATACCATTGAAATCTACCTGATGACTTTATAGACATACACAGGCACCAAGGATCCAAGTGCAACCGATT